TGCCCCGGGCGGGCGCGCGGGCGCCCGGCGGCGGGGTCTGGCAGCGCGCGCCCCGCGGCCGCGCGCACGTCGCCTCCGCGTTCCTGTTCCCTTCTGCGCCCCCCCCCGTCGGACAATCAGCGATTGCAGTCCCCCGGCCCGCCCGAGCGCGCGCGCGGACTGAATTCTGCCGCGCTGCGATGTTAGAAGTCGCCCTCCAGGGGGCCGCTCCGCGTACCGGAGCCGGCGCGCAGACTTCCGTTCCGTTCCGTTCATCGTTACTCTTGACGTCTGCGTCGCGGCCGATCAACGGCTCGGGCGCGCGGCGGGGGAAGTGGCATGTGCGTCGTTTCGCCGCCCTTTCTTGCCCGGGCTAGACATCCGCCGATTTCGCCGGGGGGCCAGCGCTGGATTGCAGCGTGGGACGGCTCGTTTGCGGGGCGCCCCCGTAGACCCGCCGGGCCCACGGGTCCGCCGGGCCTGGGCGAGTGCGAGGGCCATGGCGGTGATGATGAGGGTGATGATAGTGGCGATGATGATGGCGATGCTGTTTGCATCGTGGTCTTGTCCCCCTGGAGCGCGCAGAGGCCCCGTTGGGGTGTCTGAACGGACGGGCGCCGACGTCGGCGGCCGACGAAGAAGCTTCCCGGCGGAAGTGCGTTGCTTTGTCAGACCTATCCGTTTCGCACGTCTGCGCCAGAGTTTGCTTTGAGTGCTCCGTTTACGACGACTTCGTTCGGGGGGCTGCTTTCCCGCCGATCCGTGAACGCTCTGGCGAAGCAGGCTCGAGCAGAAGTTGTTTCGGCATCGCCGTCAGAATGCAGGTCAGCAGCGCAGCGCCTTCGACGAGTGCTGCGCCGACGTCGGCAACAGAGGAGCGGTGCGAGATTGGGGTCTGTCCGCAGAGTCCCACCCCGACGTTGCCTTGCCACGCAGATGGGGCTAAGTTCTTTGGGAGGCGTCGTTTTCAAGATCCGGCGAACGACCCAGATGCAGAAACACCGGTTGGCTGTTTTGTTTGCTATTTCTCGAAATTGCATTCTTGATGGGAATTCCCCCGGCAGGATGTCTTTTTTACGATGTGTCGCAGGGGCGCGCCGGGATGAAGGCGAACGCGGCGCCTGAGATGAGCGGGCGCCCCGCTGAGGCATGCGCGGCCCGCCTTCCTTACGCGTGCAAAGTCAGAGCCTGAATTTAATCATCAACCTCGCCCTTCTCTTGGCGTGACCAGCCGGAGAACTGCCTTTCTCTCCGCTCCTGCTCTTCGGTGCGCCGCTCGCGCCCCCCTCCGGCTATTATCCTTCGCCCCCCTTCTCTATCTTTGGCCGCTCCCTGCTCCAATTGTCCGTCATTCGCTTGGCTCCGGAGGTGGCCCTCGAGGCTTTGGCCCTCTCTTCTTCGCCCCCCCCCCCCCCTGCGCGACCGTCCAGACCGTTGCGCCCCCCGCTAAAAATTTGCGAGAGCCCGGCCCCCCCGCGACGAATCTGCGAGAGTCCCGCGAAAGATTTGCGGGAACCTTTCGCGCCGCGCACTGTCCTCCCAGGCGCCCCCCCGGGCTACCTCGCCCCCGCGGGGCCCCCTTGGGCGATGCGCGAGGGCTGTTCCCGCGCGAGACCACCCGGGCGACTCGTGCAGGCGCTGAGTGGCGGAGACCCCCCCGGGCGATTCCACCGCTCGGACCGACCCCTCTCAGGGCGAGTCGGCCCGTCCTGGAACCCTCCCCAGGCGATCCAGGACCTCCCGCGCCCTCCCAGGCGAGCGGGGGGGCTTACGGGAAAAGCCCACGCCTAAGCTCCCCTTTTTAAGGGAATCTTGGCGGGGGCGATCCGCGCCGGGGCGGCAGTCGAACCCTCCTGGGCGATCGACCGCGGCAGATTCCCCTCGCGCAAAAAAACACACACACACACAAAACAAACGCAAACCAACACACAAAATACACCAAATACACAAACAAACACGAACAAAACACCGGACGGAACATAAAAACAACAACACACAGAGAGACACAAAAGCCACGCAGACGCACGCACACAAAAATGACTAAATTATGGCTCTGACTTTGCACACCTAACCCCCCCACCCTCATTTTTTGCATGCGTTCACGCGTGGCATCTCTTCTTGGAAAGGCAGAAACGCACTGATTCAGAAGACCCTCCAGAGTGGGTGCACAGTGACTACGCCGGCATTCCCGGATAATCACGGGCTGTCCGATGCGATGAATACAGATGGATATCCAGCCTCGATTGTTTTTGGAAGTGCTACGTGAGCAGCCTTATCCATTGCATCAGGCCGATGCTGCCAGTCTCCCGGCATGTATGCAACTACGGACTTAATGCGGGCCTCGATTGCATCGACCTCGTTTGCGTTTTGCGCCCCGTTTTATTTAGCCCGCCGTTGGAATCTGTCAGCGTTCGTAGCTGCATTGGCGTGGCAGCGGCGTTCGACTCCATGGATCACGCTGTGATGAACGACTTGTTGGCCAGAGCGGGAGTTCATGCCGAGCGCGCCTCCTGCTTGTTGCGGGAGGTATCTGGGCTCTCAGCTTCATTTTCGGCGCCTGCGGCTGGCTCCACAAGCCGATTTCCTTGGGCACGAGGGGGCGAGCAAGGCGGCAGAGAAACTCCGAATGTCTGGAACGTGCCGGTTGAAACCGCCGTGGAAGATTTGGCGCGGAGCTGGGCCTCCAGACATTTCGGTTTCCATTTTGGCAATGGTCAGCGGCTGTCGCATGTAGCGCGGGCGGACAACATCTTCATAGTGGCAGCTTCCGCGGGCCAGCATGCGCCGAGAGTTGACGAATCGCATGCTCGCGATGAAAGTGTCATGGAAGGAGAGTTCGCCCCAGTGCATGCGGGGTGGCCCTCGCGCAGATGGCGCCGGAGACATCGACTTGGGCATCCCCGGTGGCGCCAATATCAGTATCAAGCTCGTTGACAACATGGAGGTGTTGGGAGTTCTCCTGGATCGCCGGGGCTCGAGCACCCGCGGCTTCGAGCGTCGCCAGCCGAAAGGGGGAGCTCGCTTTTGGGCTCGTTCGGCGGATGTCGTGGGTTTGGGAACAACAGAAAGTAAAGTTCGTGCTTGGTGCTCTGGACCTTCAGCTTCAGTTTCATATGGGTCAAGCTCGCGGCATGTCACGTCCTCGTTGTTGCTTACAGCCAAGCGCTGGGAATGCAAATTCCTGCGCCGGGCGCTGCGATTTCGCAGGAGGGCCAACGAGGGCTGCGTGGATTGCAGTCAGCGCGCGGCGAGAATAATTGAATGTAGGGCAGGTCGTTGCAAATGCCGTCTACTTCATCACCGAATCTTCCATGAGATCTTCCGGCAAGCTAGGATGGGGAAAGTACCTATCCAACCCAGCTTGGCAGAATCATGTTCGATCATCGCATCTGTTCAGACATCGGGAATGGCAGGCAGGCGCGCAGTAGGTCCCGCGGCGTTTGCGCCGAGATTTGCGGCTCGTGCATTCGGCTCCCGGGCACGAAGCCGAATGGGAAGATGTCTTGGCGATGGTTTACGGCGTGCGCTGGGGGGCATTCCGCGACCAGTTCGGCAGCGCGCGAGAATGGATGGCAAATTTGGAGTTCTTCGCCAATCGAGTCTGCGCCTGCTGGCAGTTGCCGCTCCTGCCGTGCAGGCCGCCCGTGGGCGCTGTGGTGGCGCCCGCCGACAGATGCCGAAAGCTTCGTGGACGCGTTCTGGACGACGTGCCAGGATCGCATGCCCTTGGTGGGGTGGGCGTCGCGTTGCAGTGGGGGGCGACGCCGAGACGGGTACTGTGTGTAGTGGATTGCCAACCACTCCAGCGCATAATTTGCGGACGCGCCCCCTGCCTGGACCCGTCAGCTTCTCATCTGGTGCGCCGCGCTTGCGACGACATTGTCAAGTTGATGGATTCCGGATGGTCTCCGCCGGATATTTGGGCCGACCCTGTGACATGGCGCTGCGGGCAACGCAGCGACATAAGGGGGCCACTTGGCAAATTTGACGATGGATGTGCAGAAGACGTGGTCTGTGGATTTCGACTGGCCGTGCCCCGCAAAATCTTTGCGGGGGCGCAGCTTGGTTGCCCGCTCCGACGGCGGCGCGCCGGGCGGAGCATGCGCAGCGTCGGCGTGGGTCGTGGGAATCTTATCTGGCAGATGGGAAGCGCGCCTTTTGGCCATGGGGGGCACTTTCCACAGCTCATGGATTGATTCGTTCTGGTCCGAGGCAGCCGCGCTGGCTGAATGCTCGACGTTTGTGAGAGAGCTGGTGGGTAGGTGTGGTGTGTTATATCGTGTAGTTGCTGGCTAGTCTGGATAGATAGACTTCGAGCCGTAGTCGAAGTCCAAGTCCAAGATGTTTGTGATGGTGCGTTCATCGCGATGACGTTGGTGGGTGTGAAACTGACGACGATGGTGGCGGTGTTGGTGGTGATTGTGTTGGCGGTGATGACGTGATAATGATCAATGTTGGTGGTGCTGATTATTGACTAGTTGATAGTGTTATTGCGGATGAACGTGATGGTGCTGACGGTGGTGGTGGTGGTGATGAAACAGTGTGGGTGACGATGGTAACTGATGGTGGTGACCGTGGTGATACTGATCATGATGATGCTGACGAGTTGTAATATGTCGGTTGTGATAATGATAATGATGATGGTGCTGTTGATGATGGCCGTGACTGTGATGATGCTGGTGGTGATGCTGCTGCTGGTGATGATGATTACGATGGTGCTGGTGATGCTGATGATGATGATGATGATGATGATGATGATGATGGTGGTGGTGGTGGTGGTGGGGATGATGCTGATGAGGTGGTGGAAATGCAGGCCCCCCACCCCCCATGTTGGGCACAGCGGGGACCTTGAGTGTCCCGAATGTTTCCGCGGGGAGCCTTTTTCGCTTCGCATCCGCTTTTGACGGCCCCGCGGCCCGAAAATAGGCCCCCAAAGCCGAATCGAGGAAACATGCCGGGATTGAACAATTCAGATTTTCGAAGATTTGGGGATGGGTCAAAGAGTCCCGGAACCCTGCCAGGAACTCGTGGCGGCCCGCTCCGCTGAGATTGCGGGACTCAAGCAGGCGCTTACCATTCTGGAGGGCGAGGCCGTCGTGGGACGCCAGCTCCCTCTCCTCCTCGCCGTCCTCCTCTTCCCTCTCGTCGTCCTCCTCCTCCTCAGTTCCCCTAGCGTTCCTCCTCCTTCTTCTCCTGCTCCCTTCTCGGCCACGCTCCGCCTCCTCGTCCTCCTCGTCGTCCTCGTCCTCGTCGTCCTCGTCTTCGTCGTCCTCCTCCTTCTCCTCTTTCCTTTGCCCTTTTCCCTCCTCGTTCCTCCTTCCTCCCTCCTCCATCGTCCCCCCCTCTTTCCCTCATCCCCCGCCCTCCCTCCCGCCTCCTGCCTCCTGCTCCATCAACCCCCCTTGTAAGAAGTTCCTTCCTGTCGCATCCCTAGGCGTGTCGTTAGGGCGGGCCGGGCGTTTCGCCTGAGACTTCCACGCGACATATGATCATGACGCCGGAAATCTGCGGCAGTTTCGCGGGTAGGGCTGGTCGTTTTCAAAATGGGGCTCTCGCCATATCGCCGCGCGCATGTGTTTTAAAGCTCCGTGGATGGATGCCGGGTGGGCTTCAAAGTGCGGCTTTCGCTTTGGCGACGCGCACATTCTTCTTAAACTTTGCATCGAGTTTGAGGATGGGGGGCGGGTGGTTTTCAAAATGTGACTGTCGCTTCAGCGCCGCGCGCATTCGTCTTATCAGTTGGCAGCCGTTTTTCATATGTTTTTTGTTTGTTTGTTATGTGGACCTCGCCTTAACGCCGCGCACAATCGTTTCAAAACATCCGTTCCAAGGGTTCGTACGGGCGGAATCCCAGGAATGGTGTTCGATCTAGGGATGTCAGGACTAAAGCTGTCACGTTGATTCGCGGTGCTGGAGTCCCTGGAAAGGCTCAGGATTTCGGATTGTCAGGACGCAACAGTCATGTTGATACTCGGCGCTGTACACATCCCATGACTTGTATTTGGCACGATTGGGGATTTTCAGATGACTTCTACTGGGCCACTTCCCGTATTGAGCATAGTTCTTTTTGGGATGTGCGAAGAGGGATTTTGGAGGGAGGGTGTATTGCAACATTGTTGGTGCTTCTTGGGATTGCACTGGTCCTCCTCCTCCTTTTTTATTGCCTCCTTATGCATGCGTCCTCCCTGTCCCGCCCCTAGACGTATCCGTCGTGCGGGCCAGGCGTTTCGCATGAGCCTTCCCCACAGTTGGTGATCGTGCGACCAGTTTTTTTGAAATTTTCAAGGATTAATGGCGGCTGGTTTTCAAAATGTGGCTCTCGCTTTTCAGCGCAGCGCGCATTTGCTTGACATGTCTGCAGCAGGTTTACGGATGGAGGGCGATCATTTTCTAAAGTATGGCGCTCGCCATAGCGCCTCGCACATTCGGCTTAAAAGTTTGCATGAGGTTTGGGATGGATGCCGATTCCTTTTCAAAATGCGTTTGCTTGCCTTGGCGCCGCGCGCATTCGCTCTAAAAGTGTTCAACCCTTGCCAGAATTCGTAGGGTTGAATCTCAAGAGCTGAGCTCTGACAGGATCTCGGAATATAAGGACGCAATTGTCACGTTGATTCGCGGTGTTGGAGTTTCAGGAGTGGTGTTCTGGCATTCGTCGCGATTCGCGGCGTTGAAGTCGCGATTCGCAGCGTTGAAGTCCCAGTGATTATTACGTTCTGGCACGATGGAACATTCTCAGACGGTGTCTTCCACCCTGGCATTCCCGCAATGGACATACGCACGTTCTTGCAGGGACCAGTTCAGGGGGAGCTTCGAGGGAGCATTCATCACAGCATCGTCGATGCGTCCTGCGTTTGCATGGGTCGTCCTCTTCGTCCTCCTTCCCCCTGCCCTCAGGCCGCGCTGCTGCAGAGCCTGAGCCGGCATCGCCTCGTGGGCAGCGTGCGCAGGCATCTGTCTTAGGAGCCTCACGGGTCGGCGCGCCTTCGCACGCCAGCGGCGCCACATGAGGGGCCTGGGCGGCGGGGTCGGAAAAGGAGGGGAATGGGGGAGGAGGAGGAGGCGGAGGAGGAGGAGGCGGAG